AGAGCCAGCCTTTAACAACAAACCTGTAAAATGATGAAGAACCGCTATTTAAATGTTGGTTAAAATTGCTTGGGACAGTTTCTAAACGTTCTTTCAACGTGCCTTTTACTAACTTTTCAAGTATTTCATGTAAGCTCTTTCCATCTCTCTCCACCATCCTGTAGGTGGTTGTGCCATCAACCTTTGCCAAAAAGCATAACTTAAATGTAACCAGATCGTCTCCGTCTCCAACAGTTGGCCGGTTTTCTGTCATCTATGCGCTCATTATCTATCTAGCCCAGGGGTGTCCAACTCCAGGCCTCGAGGGCCGGTGTCCTGCAGGTTTTAGATGTGTCCTTGATCCAACACAGCTGATTCAAATGGATAAATGACCTCCTCGTGATGTCCTGAAGTTCTCCAGAGGCCTGGTAATGAACTAATCATGTGATTCAGGTGTGTTGACGCAGGGTGAGATGTAAAACCTGCAGGAAACCGGCCCTCAAGGCCTGGAGTCGGACACCCCTGATCTCGCTGGTCCCTCCCTGACACTGATTCTGTTAGAGTCATCTTCATGTTAAAGACCGTCCTTCGTCCCCACTCTCTCAGATGCTGCTCATGGGGGATTTTCATTGTTAGCGGTTTTTAGCTAACAGCTGAGACAAGTTTTAATGTCTTTATTCTTTGTGACTTCATACTTAGGATTAGTTTAAGTGATGGCAGCAGAAGTGACAGCTCCTCCCATTCCCCGCTGTCGTGCAGTGAGGCCCCGCCCTTATTAAAGTCTACTAATAACCAGGTAATCATATCAGTAATATACTGGCTTATGTCTTAGATCAGCATCATTGAAAGCCACAGTATCCAGGTGTGTGCGTGACCCTGGGTGACTCTTTGCTCTTCTGTCTGTCAGATAGTGGAAGTAAAAAGTCCCACCAAGCAGAGCAAACAAGACAAAAGCATGGAGTGTGATAAGGTGAGAAAGAGTGTCTTTGGTGTTTAGAAACCATGCGTGTAATGTGGAGTAGACTAGTAAATATTCTGAAATATGGAAAGTGTTTTTATGTCTTTGCTGTGTGCTTTTCAGGTTTACCTGGATGAGCTGGTGGAGCTGCATAAAAGACTAATGACACTAAGAGAAGGTCACATACTGCAACAGGTGAGCTGATGTCAGCAGTGTCCAATACGTCCATCTGACACAAACCCACTTCTACAAAGTTTGGGATCCGTGTCAGATGTAAAAACTGAATTCAGTGATTTTCAGATCTCAGATTTTATTCACACGGTTTAAATCGACCAGTTTAGGGAAACACGTTCGCTCAGGTCGAAGCTCTCTTCTTTCTGATTGGCCAGCTGAGAGCGTGCTGTGCCTGCAGCAGATGATTAGATCTTAGACACAAATAATAAAGTAGTAATGTAGAACTATTAGTTCATAGTTTACTTTGGCCCAGCCTGTGCTCACCACTCTCACTTTCTGTCTTGCAGATTGTAAACCTGATTGAAGAGACCGGACACTTCCACATTACAAACACTACGTTTGACTTTGACCTTTGCTCTTTGGACAGAAGTACAGTAAGGAAGCTGCAGAGCTATCTCGGGACGTCCTGAGGCACGCAGCAGTTGGGTGCTGGATCCGAGCCTCTGACTCGTCCTGAATCAGTTCCAGCTGTAGTTGGCGTGTCTAAACCTCACAGTGGGTCCAGCCTGCTGCTTCGACCCCCCCTGAACAAAGAGTTCACCCTGCTGCAGAAATCGGGGGTAGATGTACGAGATCAGGATGTCAGCAGGCAACAATCTGAAAACTTGATATGAAGGGTTGGTGGGTGGGAGTGATTCTGCTGCCATGTATGTTGTTGTTTATCGTGACAAATGCATGATCAACTTTGCCTTACAACTTTGTACGTCTTATTTATTAAATTTAATTTGCAGGTGTGTGCGTGTGTGTTGGGTGGAAAAAAGTGAAACAGGACTTTGTTGAAGAGCTCTAGAAGGCACAAGTCTGACCAGTAACACTACTCTACTTCGGTCTCCGATCAGATATCTGATTCATTCATTTCCCTGGGATCAAACAGCGTCCGCACAGATGCATCTCTGTTGTTCTGTTTTGTTGTGTGCGACCTCACAGTTTGCAAAGACGTGTGAAATATGAAGAAGAATCCAGCTGGAGGTCTGGATACAAAGTGACACATCAGTTGAGAGCGCCGTCGTCTGAAAACTAAAAGTTGAGAAGTTTCTCCAGTTTGTTCTGGAGTTAAAGCTTTAAAAAAAACTTTATTTGTAAGTGTGTCTTTATTAAAGCCACCTTTATGCAAACTCTGAACTTTGAATCCACTGGAGCTTTACAAAAATCTTTGGCCTCGTCTCCTTTAACACAACTACTGCTGCAAGTGTCCTTCCTACGTAGGAGTGTAGGGAGCACATTAACATAAAGATCCCTCTGAGAATAAAGTGGAAATGTGCAGATTAGTTATTGCAACTAAAGCTGATCCTGAAGCATTTCACCAGCTCACAGTGCAGCCGTGGCACTTAAAACGACTGTAATCGCCACATTTCAGTGTTTTTCTCTAAATAGATTTTTGACTTTATTCTCAAAGTGATCAATATTGTTTTTTATCTTACTGTGGTCCTGTTACTCTGCTCTACAAAGTGAACTCATTTTACCAGCTTTAAATATCAGCTGAACTCATGTCGGCTGCTTTAAAAACCTGTTTAATGTTGTTTGAACAGCAGGGCATGAATGGCTGCTCGCCTGTGCTGAGCACTCATCTTTGATACAGGAGAGCTGCCTCTCAGGAGGTCCCGCCCACTGACTGAAACTTCATTTCTTAAGCTTGTGCTTCTGATCGTCTGCCTAAACACAGATCATGGGTTCAGTTGGTTCAGGATGTTTCTACACAAAGATCCACTAACACGTGGAGTTGTACAACCGACCCAAAACCCGTAGGAGGAACCGTTAACAGGTACTCTGAGGTGTGGATGTGTTTCACCTGTTAAATCAAAGCTCAGCGTGAGACGAGGCCTTTCTTGGAGTCGCCACAGGGACACGTGACAGTCTGATGAGGATGGTTTTGTATTTTGAGGATTGAAAGAACCATAAATGTTCTGTATGATGTACAGATCGCCCACATGTGGATGAGCTGGTTTTTGTATGTGCGTCTGAAGTAGCTGTGTACACTGTGCACAAATTGTGGTGTCAGGCCCAAAATGTTTGCTGTGCTTACAGCAGCCTCTGATCATTAGTTCAAAAATATCAGCTTGTAGCACCACCTAGTGGTAGCATGTTAAAACTGCTGCACAGCCCCTGAAGTGGGAAATCCGCAGTTAAATGATTTATCTCATCTTTATTCACTGTTTATATTAAGTTACTGTGAATGACGCATACAGAGCCCTGCCTTTGGTTCAAGCAGACACTCCACAATTCTGTGACCATCGTTACCCCCAAAGTCGATGTCTTTGCCTAAAAACATGTAAAATGTTGTTTCCTGGTTAAAGCAGTCACAGGACATCGTACAGGAAGCTAAAATAGACTGATTGCCCCCTATTGGCTGTTAGTACAGGCCGACAGCTTCACCCTTCTGTACTACACCTTAAAATAATATAAACTCATCAATGACACTAATAAAAATGTGATTATCTGACCAGTTTTTGATGTGATGCTTTAAAAGCAGTGCGTTTCGTTATGGCTGACAGCTGCAGAGGCCCCTGTTTAGATTACAGTAACTATTCTGCATCCTTAAAACTAACCTGCTTGTTCCAACAACAAACTTTAGTGCAGCTGCTAAACTGTAGTGATGTACTCAGAGCCTGGAGACCCAGACAATGCCTCGTTTCCTACAAGCTAAACAAGCAAAAGTAGTTTTGGGTTATTTGGACTGCCTTCATGTTCCTGCAGCTGGAGGATTGGTACCTTCTGTATTTAATTCCATAACAGAATTGAGGCCATGGTCCTCAGCAGGAAAAGGGTCGAGTGCCCACTCCAGGTCACCCCACCCACAGTGGGCTGATCTCTTAGATGGACATTAACATCCCCCACCCCTCGTCAGGTTTTCCAACTGCTTTGTGGATAAGACGTCTTGGACGATCATCTTGGATGT